AAAAAAAAAAAAAAAAAAAAAAAAAAAAAAAAAAAAAAAAAAAAAAACCAACAGTGCTCGAGTTTGGAGCAGCAATTGAGAGATGCCGAGAGTCGGCATCAAGAGGAGCTGGCTGCCGAAAAACGAGGAGCCCAGGTGCTCATAGCTGAACACGAGTTGCGAGTGCAGGAGCTGGACGGGAAGCTGGAGGCGGCCAAGTCGGGCTACGAGACGGCCGTGGCGGAGCTGGAGCAGAGTCTTCGCGAGGCCCAGTTGGAAGCGGAAGCGAGTGTGGAGAAGGCCAAGATGAGCGAGGCGGAGACTTTGCGAGTGGCGGGACTCGCTGCGGATGCCGAAGACCAATTGCGCCTGGCTGAGAAGAAGCACTGCGGCGTGAACCGGGATTTGAAGAAGCAGTTGGCGGTGGAACGAAAGCGAGCCGAAGCCCTGGAAGCCAGGCTGTCTCAACAGCTGCATTTGCAACAACAACAACAACAACAGCAGCAGCCGTCGTCTTCGTCGCCGTCTTTATTTGGAAATCATTCCCCTGGTGAGTCGATGGAGTTGAAGTCAAACAAAAGCTCAATCTTTCTTCCGTTTTTTTTTTTTAAATTTTTAATATTTTTTTCTTGTAGATGAGATGAAAGCGGATGACGCGGACGCGTGTTCCACGGATTCCTGGAGTGTGATGAGTGGCAGGAGCACGGAGAATGCCAGCAACAACAACAACAACAACAATAATAATAATAATTTTAACAACAACGACACCAACACCACGCCTCAGCCTTCAGAAATTGGCATTCAAACGTCCACGTCTCACATGGTCGTCGTTGATTGCGTGGACCCCGCCGTGTTGGCCGTGTCTTCCACCACTACGACGAGCAGTAGCAGTGGCAGTGGCAGCAGTAACAACAGTAGCCGTGAATCTCTTCGGAACCGGACGTCCCCTTTGAAGAAGACAAAGGCCAGCACCAGCAGCCCGAGGAAGCAGGTGAATTGATCTTTTTGATTGTTTGTTTGATGTTGGGATTCACTCACACTCACTCTTGAAAGGAGGAAGAGGCGGCGTTGTCGGGCGAGGAAGTGCAGAGTCTGTTGAACCGAGTGGCGCAGTTGCAGCAGGACAAGTGGAGCATGGAAGAGCGGCTGCGGACGCTGGAGGAGAGTGCGGCAGGCATGACGGATGCCCTGTTGCAGAAGTCGGCCTTGATTCAGTTCTACTGCATGGAAGGCAGGGCAGGTTTGTCGACTGCTTTGCTTTGCTTTCCTGCATTTCTCGCTACGCGTCTAGTCGAGAGCCATGAAAAAAAAAAAAAAAAAAAAAAAAAAAAAAAAAAACGTCAAATA